GGAATCGTCCAACATTTTTGATCAGTATCTTGAACCACTCGTCGGCAACGCGAAGAGATTTTAATCCCCAACCACGCGTTGTAGACGGGTATACGCGTTGCTTTATTTTGCGAGGCTCCCTAAACAAATCCTTTTAGAAAATGTGTGCTCTATTATTTTAACGGATATTCATAAAATGAACAGCAAATCTGCTTCATCAAAATATTTTCCCAATTAAGAATCACAAAGATACTAAGCGAGAGATCAGTGGTCTAATAGTGGTTATGATACCCACTCAATTACTTGCAACATTTTTCCTCACAATTATTTGGGGATGCACTAATTGTACAAGGAGTTCTCAACTATATTATAACAGGGGTCAAGTTTGGGGTCACGTTTGTAATCAATCAATTTGAAGGGTACAATGATCATGCAAGTGTGCAAAGTTACCAGAGGTCTAGGAGAAAATAATCTTGAAATATATTTATTAAATATATTTATTTGTTTAGAAGTGTAAAAATGTGATGCATCAGGATCGTGCTAGCAATGTTTCTCAGGATGTGGGAAAATGGTTATACATTTGGAGAATAGCAGTATTTTTTTTATTAGATATTCCCTAACTTTGCACAATAGATATTGAGTAACACATTTATGGCCCTGAACGCAGGTTACACTTAATGTACTATAGTGTTATCTGGATAGGCAAAATTAATATATATATATTTTTTTATTCAACGACCTAGTTATTCGTTGGACGACAAGGGGTCTAGGCCTGTCCGAACGGAAGAGGGGAAATGTCTTCCACTGGCGCCACCACTGGACCACATAACGTAATGCAATGTTTCTTAGCAAGTGCAAAATGGCAACAGATTTTCACTAACCTCGCCCTGACTGAAGGACCAAATCCTGCTGTACTTTTTTACTGATTAAAATCATACACGTAAATAGTTAACAAAATGTTTAAATTGACCCAAAAATTGAAAATATTAAACACAAAACGTGATGCAAAGGAATTATACTCCATGATTCCTGACAAGCACAGAAATAGCAATAGATGTTCACTAACCTTGCACTGGTGTTGGAATTTGAGGCAGATTTGTCTGAGTTGGGGAAACTTCCAATGCATTTTTGTAGCCATGCCTTTCACACACACTTTTTTCAAGTCCATGAAGTTTCTGTTGCCTCAACGCATTCATCATGATTGGTACTTGGTTTGTTGATTGGGCATCCCTCCAAGTAACCAGCAATTCCATGATGAGGTCGTCCACCTGTTTGTTGTTTGATATTTTAATAATATCTCTCCACTTGAGTCCAAGACGCACTCCTTGTCTCCTCCAATATTTGAACTCCAGATTGTCGCAGATGAACAGCAAATCTTGATCATCAAAATATTTTCCTAATTAAAAATCATACAGATGCTAAGTAAAAGATCAGCAGTCTAGTGGTTATGATATTTTCCCTCACAAGTATTTATGGATGCAGTGGGTGTACCAAGAGTTCTCAACTATATCATAACAGGGGCCAAGTTTGTAGATCAAACCAAGTTGCAGGGTCCAGTGATCATGCAATTTTGCAAAGCGACCTAAGATGTAGGGGAAGATAATTTTGAAATATATCTCTTTGTATAAAAGAGCATAAAACGTGATGCATCGAAATCGTGCTAGCTACTGTATGTTTCTCAGGATGTGCAAAAATGGTAGCATTATATATTTATTAAATTTCACTAACCTTGAACTGGTGTTAGAATTTGAGGCCGATTTATTTCAGTTGCTGCAAATTCTGACTCGTCACTGTAACCATGCCTTTTACGTACACGTTCTGCAAGTCCAACAAAATTATGTTGTCTCAAAGCGTTCACCATGGTTGGTACTTGTTGGCTGCTTGATTGGTTATCCCTCCAAGTAACTAGCAATTCCATGATGCAGTCATCATCCAATCTGTTGTTTTTTGCTATCTTATTAATATCGCTCCACTTGAATCCAAGACGCACTCCTAGTCTCCTCCAATATGTAAACTCCAGATTGTCGCAGATGAACAGCAAATCTTGATCATCAAAATATTTTCCTAATTAAAAATCATACAGATGCTAAGTAAAAGATCAGCAGTCTAGTGGTTATGATATTTTCCCTCACAAGTATTTAGGGACACAGTGGGTGTACCAAGAGTTCTCAACTATATCATAACAGGGGCCAAGTTTGTAGATCAAACCAATTTGAAGGGTCCAGTGATCATGGAAGTTCGCAAAGCGACCTAAGGTGTAGGGGAAAATAATTTTGAAATATACCTCTTTGTATAAAAGAGCATAAAACGTGATGCATCGGAATCGTGCTAGCTATGTTTCTCAGGATGTGCAAAAATGGTAGCATTATATATTTATTAAATTTCACTAACCTTGAACTGGTGTTAGAATTTGAGGCCGATTTAATTCAGTTGCTGCAAATTCTGACTCGTCACTGTAGCCATGCCTTTTACGTACACGTTCTGCAAGTCCAACAAAATTATGTTGTCTCAAAGCGTTCACCATGGTTGGTACTTGTTGGCTCCTTGATTGGTTATCCCTCCAAGTAACTAGCAATTCCATGATGCAGTCATCATCCAATCTATGGTTGTTTGCTATCTTATTAATATTGCTCCACTTGAGTCCAAGACGCACTCCCAGTCTCCTCCATGATTCATACAGATTGTCACAGATGAACAGCAAATCTTGATCATTACAACATTTTCCTTATAGAGATTATACAGCGAGTAAAAAAACTTAGTTACTGGTGTCATTGACAGTGGCATGTACTATTTGTTACTTTGGTAACAATATAGAAACAAGCTATAGAAAAAAAATATGAGGTTAATTTCTTTGTATTTTCAAAATTCTTAAAATACTTACCTGCTTGTTGAGTGACAAGATTTTCATCGCTAATTTCACCCTCAAACAAATCTTCTGCTAGTTGACGTAGCTTATGTTGTTTTAGAGCAGTGCACAACACTTTACGTTGATGAACATCACTACTGAGGCTGCTCCTCCAGTAATTCATCATATTTTTGGCAACCTTATGAGTCTGCATATCATCAGCATTGAACTCGTTCACTTTCGACCACTTAAGTCCCAAACGGACACCAAACCTTCTCCAGCCGACACTCAACTCGTCAGAAACTTTCACTATGGTGGCGTCATCCACAAAGTCTAACATACAAGATAATTATTATATAGAAACCGTGATTGTCTGTATCTGACATGAGTTTTAGACACTTCATTTAAGAGGAAATTAAAACGATGGCAATGCAATTGATCCCTGGTCTCCCTAAATGTCAGTACTGTAACTTTTTCACTTTCTGTTTTTGCATAATGTTGTTTTAAAGATCGAACAAATAATAAAATTAAGTGATTGGAGATTCTGGAAAAATAATAGCATAAAATTAACTGTTAATATAATATCTGTCTCTTATACACATCTAGATGTGTATAAGAGACAGGGATTGTTCCTATAAATAGTTCTAGAAGAAGCAGGTACTGGCATTAAATTGCGTTTATCCTGTCACTACGAATGTATTCCTCCATGCTCTGCATAGCTGAGGGTGGAAGAGATGATCCTAAAAAAAATTCAAATTTATTGCAGCCAGGAAATAAGGCACAGGGCTTAGATGAGGACTAGCTTAGAAGTAAACTTGTCTCAGATAGCCCTGGAACCGGATATACAATAACAAAAAATGACAATGAGAAGCAGAAGTACAGCCAAAATAAAACTTCAATGACACTGACTATATATATTTGGACATAAAGGGTATCTTCAGTTCATTAATTTATTAATATTTGTAATTTCTGTTAATTAACTAGGATGCATATTCCATTGAATGGGACCTTGACAGCTATGAATGAATCCAAGATTTTACTAACTGATTCAATAATTGCATGTTCAGTTGTGTGCCTTTTACGAAAACCATATTGAGAGCATATCAAAAAATTAAAGTTATCAAGAAAACTATATAGTCTATAGAGTGCATAAATTTTTTGAGTATTTTTGAAAAAACCGGAAGAAAAGAAATTGGTCTGTAATTAGAGATATCAGTTTTGTCACCATTTTTTATAATTTGTATCACTTTTTCAATTTTCAAGCTGTTAGGAACAATTCCGTTTTTAAATCAAAGATTAAAAATTGACCCATATGTTATCCACCATTTTCTTGAAAATATTGATAACCAGCTTTAAAATACACTTCATATGCATATTACTGGTTCCAAGTTTTATAAATAAAAACATACACAATAAAAGATACTATTCATAATTCCGACTACATACATTGAGTATTCATTAACGTTCATACAATTCCAACATAATAGTAATCACCCACTCTCTTTATGAATTTCTTAACATGACTGAAGGACTAGAATCTGTAGTAGTTTTATTATCAACCTGAAATAACACATCTTCCATTATTCTTTTATTGAACCCAACATTCAAAATATTATTGTCCACATAATGTGATGCAAGGGAATCGTACCAGTAATGTTTCATAGTAAACGCAAAAATGGCAATAAAGCTCACTAACCTTGCGTTGGTTTTGTTTTTTGATTCAGATTTATCTCAGTTGGTGCAACTTCTGACTCATCACTGTAGCCTTGCCTTTCACACACACCTTGTGCAAGTCCAACAATCTTCTCTTGCCTCAAAGCATTCATCATGATTGGTACTTGGTTTGTTGATTGGTGATCAATTTTTCCATATTTTCTCTGGTAGTATGACTCAAGTTCTTCCTTGATATCTATTCGTCCAACTTTGTTCAGTGCTTCACTAATTATTTTGAGATGATTAACTTCAGCTTTCTGTCTTTCTCGCCACTGTATCAACATTTCAATATAGGCGTCTACAATTGGTGGTGAGAGGCCTGATTCAATTCGATTTATTTCATGTTTCTCCATACCAAGGTTGATGCCGAAATTTGTCAAATGTTCGCCATCAAGTTTGTAAGAGATAAACACAATGTCAATATCATCTAAGCAACCTGTAATAAAACATACATTTCCAATAATAATACTGTATAGACAAATCCTTTTAGAAAAGGTGTGCTCTATTATTTTAACGGATATTCATAAAATGAACAGCAAATCTGCTTCATCAAAATATTTTCCAAACTAAAAATCATAAAGATACAAACCAAGAGATCAGTGGTCTAATAGTGGTTAAGATACCAGGATGTCATGGATTTGATTCCCACTTGAATTACTTGCAAGATTTTTTCTCACAAGTATTTGGGGATGCACTAAGTGTACAGGGAGTTCTCAACTAAATTATAACAGGGGTCAAGTTGTAGAACAAATCAATTTGAAGGGTACAATGATCAAGTTAGGAGAAAATAATGTTGGAATATATTTATTTGCATAAAAGAGCATAAAACGTGATGCATCGGGATCGTTTCTCAGGATGTGTGAAAATGGTAACACATTTAGAGAATAGCAGTATTTTTTTTTAGATTTTCACTAACCTTGCACAATAGATACTGAGTAACCCACATTTATGGCCTTGAACCCAGGCTACACTTATTGCACTATAGTGTTATCTGGATAGGCAAAATTAATATTTTTTATTTTTGATTTGATTACCTAGTCTTTCGTCGGACAACAAGGGGTCTAGGCCTGTCCAAACGGGGAAGGGGAAATGTCCCCCGCTGGCGCAGCCACTGGACCACATAACGTGATGCAAGGGATGTAATGTTTCTTAGCAAGTGCAAAACGGCAACAGATTTTCACTAACCTTGCCCTTGCATTGGAATTTGTGGCAGATTTATAACTGGGGCCAAGTTTGTAGATTAAATCATTTTGAGGGGTCCAATGATCACGCAAGTTTACAAAGTGACCTAAGGTCTAGAGGAAAATAATTTTGAAATAAATCTCTTTGTATAAAAGAGCATAAAGCAAGATGATTCAGAATAGTGCAAGCAACATTTCTCAGCAAGTGCGTAAATGGTAGCATTATATATTTATTAAATTTCACTAACTTTGAACTGGTGTTGGAATTTGAGGCTGATTTATTTGAGTTGCTGCTGACTCGTCACTGTAACCATGCCTTTCACATACACGTTGTGCAAGTCCAACAAAATTCTGTTGTCTCAAAGCGTTCACCATGATTGGTACTTGTTGGCTCTTTGATTGGTCATCCCTCCAAGTAACCAGCACTTCCATGATGCAATCTTCGACCAGTCTGTTGTTTTTTGCTATCTTTTGAATATTGGTCCACTTGAGTCCAAGACGCACTCCCAGTCTCCTCCATGATTCGGGATCCAGATTGTCACAGATGAACAGCAAATCTTGATCATTACAACATTTTCCTTATAGAGATTATACAACGAGTAAAAAACACTTAGTTAATGACGTCATTGACAATAATGTGTACTATTTGTTACTTTGGTAACAAAATAGAAACAAGCTATAGAAAAAAAATGTGAGGTTAATTTGCTATGTATTTCCGAATTCATTAAAATACATACCTGCTTGTTGATTGACAAGATTTTCTTCGAGAATTTTACACTCTAACAAATCTTCAGCTAGTTGACTGAGCTTATGTTGTTTCAGAGCAGTGCACAACACTTTACGTTGATGAATATCGCTACTGAGGCTGCTCCTCCAGTAATTCATCATATTTTCGGCAACCTTATGAGTCTGTGTATCATCAGCATTGAACTCGTTCACTTTCGACCACTTAAGTCCCAAACGGACACCAAACCTTCTCCAGCTGAGACCCAAATTTTCAGAAACTGTCACTATGGTGGCGTCATCCACAAAGCCTAACATGCAAGATAATTATTGTAAAGAAAACATAATTATCCCGAATGTATCTGACTTGAGTTTTAGACACTCCATTAAAAAAAAAAAATTAAAACTTTCACCAAAAAACAAAAAGAAAAAAAAAATGCCAATGCAATTGATCCCTTGCCTTCCCAAATTACAGTACTTTTTTACACTTTCTGTTTATGCATAATGTTGTTTAAAAAACTGAATAAATAATGAAATAAGTGACTGGAGATTTGGAAAAATAATAGCATAAATTAACTTTTAAACCATTATCCAGCAGTACAGATGACTTTTACAACTGGTTAGTTGCAACAAAACGTTTGTTTTCAATAAAACCAGCACCATCTTAATCAGATATAAAGTCTGTGATCCATTATTGAAAAAAATCCATAAACATACCTGTTGGTATATGTACTACTTGCTGAGACTGTGGACGATCTAGAGAGTAACGGAATAATACATCAAGGTAAAACAACACATTGCCTTTGATAACAAAATTTGTTCCAAATTGTTCAACCTTGCTAAATTATGTTCATTTCACGTTGGTAATTTTTCTATTTCTACTATTTTCTCTCATAACAGAGCTTACAGCATGAGGAATATTTTGCATTGGGCTTTTATAAAGAGCAAATCGACAGGAAACTATATGTCGCTTGTTTCTTTTTAAACATTTGTCAATATGCATTAATGTGTGTTATATTGTAACATTTACAGCCAACATATTTGTGAGGTCTTGCCACAAAATGAGTCTTATGGTTAGAAATTAAAAAATTGAGTTTATATTATATTTGGGTAGATCACATTATAAGCTTTCATTTGGTCTTTGAATGGCTTCCCTACTATAAGTAAATCCAGAGATGCGAGCATTTAAAATTAAGGTATATAAGAACAAAGTTTTGGTCTGTTTTGGTGAATATCTCAATATGTGTTCACCAACGATGTGACTCATTTTGTGGTGAGACCCCACTTTTTTACTGCATAAATTCATTGGTTACCTTGCACTCGTCGCATGTCATCTCCAAATAGTCGACGATAACGCGGCAATATATTGCTTCCACATGGCAGCACATCCTGGTGAAACGTGCGCACGATTTGCATGTGGGCGTTACTCGAGTCTGAACTGCATTCGCAAGCAATGTACCTCGTCAATTCAATGCCTCGTACACCACTCAGACAAAATAGCTTTAGTTCCTTTTCGAGGAAACTCAGTACCTGGAGGAGATGAAAAATATAGGTTAATCTATGTTAAATAATTAATGTACATTAAGGAAAAGCATACATTTAAAACATTAAAACATTCAAATAATTCTCAAAAGTCTCTCAAATCGATGGAAGTTGTAGTACCTTTTTACACACTGTCGGTGAGGGCTCATCTTCCTGACTGGGTTCCAAGACTGCGATCGTTGTCTAGAAAACATAACATTAAGCTCCGTCATTTGAAGACAAATATGATTTTGATAGTCATTTATTCTTGGCAGTTCTAGTAGTTTTTTTTCTGTGTGTATGTTCTTTATATTTCATATTGCTTTTATATACAGCACTTATATTTAGGCCTATATATTTTTTTAACGATTTATGATTGCAGTGACAACGATGTTTATGTTTGTGGCTTACATGATGTTTTTATGTGTCTTGTGTTTGTACACTTAAATATATATAAACAATATTTGAAAATTTATAATACTATATTTTTACCATTTAGGCTATGTATAATCTTACTATTCATAAAGAAAGTAATGAAAATATTAAAAGAAATTTAAAAAGTATCATAATAGTCCTACTTACCTTAAACATACGACGATTCCTCATTGTTGCTACACTCATAACCACTTTGTGAAATTGATCGATATTCAACTCCACATGCTCATAAGACAGTTTAGGCTCAACATCTTGTACTTGGAATTCCTCAATGAACTTAGTTACTCCTCTCTGGAAAAGATCGTCAGGTAGATACTGTCCAAAGTCATGAAAGATTGAAACTGCATGCATCCCATCATCCTTAACGGGTCTATCAATACGTTCAGGTTTTAAACGTGAAAGAACGTAGAAAATACGGCCACGAAAACCACTCTAGAAAACAATAAGAAAAATTTAAAAAACATTTTAAAAAGTTTATGGCTCATGGTATGATACCACAATTGTAATTTGTTTATACTGTATCATCTGAGATTGGTGCAATGAAACAGACCACTATATAAAAAAGAAAACAGGTCTCTCTCTCTAATTAAAAACCACTTTTGGACCGGAGTTTCCAGCTCTGGTCTTTTCATTAAAATAATAAAGATAAGACATAAATTGTCAAATTTTGTTACAAGATCACAGAAAAATGAACTGTAATTGGAGGTCAACCTGTATAGTTAAAATTACCTTTGTAATATTTTTCTCACACACCAGTCCAAACTTCTGCATGAGAGATACAAAGAAGTCAAATGTCTCATCTGAAAACTTGAACTTCTCCCAGAGATGTCTTAACAGATGCTCCTCAAGGACCCCTGCGTCCAATTTCCTCCAGGCCTCTATGTGTTTTTGTTCCTGAAATTAATAATTTTAACTTAGGCCTACAGGGTTATGTTTTCATTACAAATGTTGTTATTATTATTATTATTTATTTAAGCGTACAACTCATACATTGTCAATAGTTAATATATACTGTCCTCTAGGTGACAATACCTTACGCAAGACAAACATACATACAACGATGCTTTACACAAACTAAATCTCAATATGAGGTTTAGGGGAAAAAAATCCTGCAGCACTCAACATACCTTTGTTTCTATAAGAGTAGTACTAAAGTGCGAGGCAGCGAGGCATGCGAGGCAGCGAGGCAAAACGACGATTCATGCGAGGCATCGTTTTGCCATTGCCAAAAGTGCGAGGTATAACAACGATTCATGCGAGGCATCGTTTTACATCGAAATATGTGCAGAGAACAACGAAAATCCAATGTAAAAGTAACATTACGTCGGTGCTTTTTACATTAAGCCTGGTTTCCTGTCGACGTAAAGTTCAGAATTTCTTACGATTCATACGATTCTTACGACTGTTACGAGAAGTTGGACAAAAACAGCCCCGTCTTGATCGTGCTGGGCCGCAGACAAAATAAGCCGGTTACGATTCTTACGATAAGTTGAATTTTTCAAACTCGAACGGCAAAGCCTCTTCTAACGTCGTCACATGCATGTTACGTCAGGTTGAATTTTTCTTTGCGACTGCGATATGTTAACATTTCTCACTTCCTGTCTGGTTTCCTCATTGAAATTACCTGGCGAGATTCGAGGGCAATTTTCACCGTTGGATTTAAACAATAGTCTAGTCCTGTAGTAGGCCTACAGTATAAGCATAGAGAAAATAGAACAGCTGTTCTATTTTCTCTATGGTATAAGGGCCTACAAATCTCGATTTGCTAACTTTCTCGTTATCAATTTTAGTGTTTCGTTTTCAAAATATCAATTTGGCCTATATTGTTTATTTCAACTGACAGAAAAATCTTATTTCCGGATATACAGTTATACAGAAAACATTATTTAAATGTTAAAATTCGGGTTGTATAATATAAACATGAATTAAAATTAAGAATGAAATACACTTGAAAAAACTGTTAATTGAAATTAACAGAAAATATTCCAACTGGCAATAGGCCTATACATTTTATATTTAATTTATTTATTTAGGCCCTATATTATAATGTTTTATATATTATTTTTATATTGTAGGCCTATAAGTTTTTTTGTATAATAAATGTAATTTATTAAATCTAATTGCAATCCTCATTCTTGACCACCACCACCCGATGGCGCCGCCACTGCCTATAGGCCTACATCCGTAAATTATAACTGGAGTATTTTGATTGACTGCAGTAAATGGACCAGAGATTTTTTTCGTGGGTTAAGTGGGGGGGGGGTGAGACAGAGGGATTAATCCTCCATCGGTCTTGTCAAGCCCACTCCCCACCCATCGGCCAAAGCTCGTCGGGCAGTCGGATCAAAAAAAATAAATAAATAAATAAAAAATAGGCCTAGTTTTCCCATCCCAGCCAATCAAGAAGTCAAGCAATCTAGAAGTCCCAATTTTTTAAAATAAAAAACTCATTTTGGGAGTAGAGGACTCCTCTCCCATACCCAACCCCTCCCATACCCCGGAAAACGTAGCCCCCCCTTCCCCCAAATAAATGATATTCTAGAGGCGCCACTGTGTATAGGGCTAACAAAATCTATAAGATTTTACATGCCTATCATTGTGTTTGAAAAAAGTGGAGGATATGCTTCTTTTTAACCATTTTATTACAAATACGTAAGTCAATGAGAGTTCTAGTTCGTTGACAATGTTGTTGTATAGGCAAGATATACAGACAGCATACGTTTCCGCTTACGTTTCTTATGAAAAGTTGACTTGGAGTCAACTTTTCATAAGAATCGTCTGCAACGCAACGTATGCGAGTTCATTCAACAAAAAGTCACTAAATCGCGGTTTCCTGTCAAATAGTGAAAAATCGACGTATCACATGAAAATTCAATACGTCGGTTTCCTGTCCAAAACTGTTTTGCGACGATTTTAGTTTACGTTACGTTGATTTCACAACGCACCAGTCGTAATCGGTTTCCTGTCAAATCGCATTTTCTTACGATAAAACGACGTAATCGTAAGTAAATCTGCCTTCTTACGTCGACAGGAAACCAGGCTTTACGTTCGGTGCTTTTTACATTACGTTCGGTGCTTTTTACATTACGTTCGGTGATTTTAGTAACATTACATTCGGTGCTTTGAAACACTACGTTCGGTGCTTTTATCATTACGTTCGGTGCTTTTGCCACACTTATGGATCTTTTATTATTTGGTGTTTTTTAGTTTTATCTTTCGGCCCTTTTATTTTTTTTCGACTTGACCCGATGTCAAAGGTCATGAAAGCACCGAATGATAAAAGAACCGTACGTAATGATGAAAGGACCGAAAGGTAAAAGCACCAAATGATAAAAGAGCCGAAGTGCGGCTAAAGCACCGAACGTTGTTCAAACACCGAACGTAATGTTAAAAGCACCGAACGTAATGTAAAAAGCACCGAACGTAATGTAAAAAGCACCGAACGTAATGTAAAAGCACCGAACGTAATGTAAAAGCACCGAACGTAATGTTAAAAGGGCTGAATAGCAAATGCGCCGAACGGAAAAGAGCCACCAAAGGCAGTAACGGCGTTCCATACTATATAGCCTAAGCCTAGGCGGAGAAAAATAAATCCACTGTGGTAGCAAATCAAATTAAGTAGCAATTTGACAATGACTATCACGCATAATTATTAAATAGTACAATATTACTTTTACATTGGATTTTCGTTGTTCTCTGCACATTTCGATGTAAAACGATGCCTCGCATGAATCGTTGTTATACCTCGCACGTTTGGCGTTGTCTTATAAACGCTGATACACTAAGACGCTGATACACTGAGACGCTGATACACTGGGACGTTGATACGCTGAGACAAAGATGACGTCATTGAAATTAACGCAAAGTCATAATGCACTGAGTGGAATCGAAAGTGCAGGGTTCTCAAGTACTACGGAACGTCCGTAGTTTAAATACAGAAATTCGGCCCAAATTACGGACGTACGGAAATATAGATAAATACTACGGAAATACATATAAACTACGGAAAATTACAATAGAGCCAATATTTATGGGAAAGCCCCAACATTTCACGATAATTCATAAAGTAAAATCAACGATCCACTCCACGTACGAGTTAAAAATACGTAACAATCTGCTAGCTCAAACAAAAGCAAGCAGAACAATACAAGCAGTGGTGTGGTGAGCGTGATGGCCAATCAGAATCGTGTTTAGAGCAAGAAGTCATGACCTAATATTATGCAAAAACTTTTTCGATGCTAAAAATAACAGTCTACTCAATTTGCATTGCAACAACAAACAGCAAGCTAAACGATGACATCATAGCCAATGTGCGTTGTGGCCAGATTCGTGTTTAGAGAGCAAGCGAAAGCATGTATGACCCGTGTAACGCGACGTGACCTCATCTCTACATGCAAAAATACTAAGCTACACTTATACCATATTATTGTACGTTTTAAGTGAATCCAAAGAATATAAATAGCAGAAGAATGAGCGCTTCGCGTAGTTTGCATTAAATTCGATGGAACGTCCGCCATCTCCACGATGGCAAAATTAGTCTGAAGGTTGTTGTCTGTGATGACGCTCCAAGCTAGGCCTAGGTAGGCCCGTGTTCACGCGACGAGGCTATGCAAAACTGTTAAAGTTTTAAGAAAGACTATTCGATGAGTTATTTTACAATAACATGTACAAAATAAATACATTTGAGGAGTTTAAAAACTGTCGAAATCTACTCGAGCGGAGGCTGATTATTGTGAAGAAAAATTGCCACATAGCGGTTTGTTTTGATATTATACCCACTAGCCTATATAACATACATGTCGTGTTATTCACTTTAAATTCGGTCTATTTCATACTAAATAGAATTTAATGGAAAGAAAATGACAAATTATGACTCCACCAGTACCAAATAATTTTATCTAAGTGCCGTCTTGTTTTATAGCACAAACAGCAATCACATCTATTTTTAATCAACACAGCTGATAAAACATTGTACAGAACATCATGGTTCCCCTGTTGTAATTTTTTGTTTACATTCTTTGCATTGACTGGCTGCCATTGAAATTTATGTTTAAGCCAAAGCGTTCAGGGGGCTTCGACAGCCCCTGTCCTCTAGCCACTGTTTTGTCAACCCGATCTTCTCTTTGAATTTCTGAAGATTGGCAGTGGTTTATTTCCTTTAAAATCTCAAGCAACAGAGTAGATCCCGGTGATACGTTAT